ACATTTTCTACTTCAAAATGGACTGAAGTTCTATCTGATACGTTTTCCCGGGACTTTTTTCTTTTTCTTTTTTTTTTTTTTTTTTTGAGATGGAGTTTCGCTTTTGTTGCCCAGGCTGGAGTGCAATGGCGTGATCTCAGCTCACCGCAACCTCCGCTTCCCAGGTTCAAGTGATTATTCTGCCTCAGCCTCCTGAGTAGCTGAGATTAGAGGCGTGTACCCTTATGCTTGACTAATTTTTTTTTGTATTTTTAGTAGAAACCGGGTTTCACCATGTTAAACGGGGGATCACCATGTGATCCGCCTCCCTCAGCCTCCCGAAGTGCTGGGATTACAGGCGTGACCCACCGCACCTGGCAATGCCCAGCTCATTTTTGTATTTTTAGTAGAGACGGGGTTTCACCATGTTGGCCAGGATGGTCTCGATCTCCTGACTTTGTGATCCACCTACCTCGGCCTCCCAAAGTGCTGGGATTACAGATGTGAGCCACCGCGCCCGGCCTTCCCTGAACTTTTATCTCCTGTTTCCCCCATCTTTCCACTGCCTGTGGTGGCCCAGTTTACACTGATTGCAAGCTTCTCTCCCTAGATAGAACTTTCCCTCTGCTTCCCTCTCCTACCGTGGCTTACCTGTTCAATTGATTATGTCCTTTGAGCCTTGGCCAGTAGATTCCTGAATGAAGTAAATTTATGCTGAAGGTTTTATAGCTAGGTGGTGGTGTATCAAGGGGCTTTGATACCTAAGAGACCAAGCTGTGGTAGGGATTTGAATCTTTAGACAAGCAGCCCAGGAAGAGATTGTTTTGGGGGCAGTAGGACTTCTAGGTGCTCCTGAACATCTTGTAGGTATATATGCTTCGTGAGCCAAAATCATGACTCTGGACTTAATGAAATGCGTTCAATACTAAGAATTGTTTTAAACAGGCAGAGATTTTTTTGAGTTAACTTTAGATGTTTTCATTAAATATTAGAGCTGGAAAGGATAAATAATGGTCATGTTCTAAAGAAGTTTTTTCATGAATTGATACATATCTAATTTTTTGATACTTCTTAAAGTGAGAGAAGGTAAAGAAAGATCCTGAGGTTGTGCTTGTCTTTACCAAGAAAGGCTTGGCACAGTGACTTGCTGAGATGAATGAGTTTGGCAATTGGCTATAATCTGAGAATGTTCTGAATTCAGTAGCCTGGGATGTGTTTGTGTTCTCAGGTTAATTGCTTATTTAGCTGGCAGTCCTTTGGGGCTGCTAGTCCATTTGTTAATTCCAAAAGTTGTTGGACATTTGTTTAATAAAAACAAATACATTTGTTTTTTTTGTTGTTGTTTTTTTTTTTGTTTGTTTTTTTGTTTTTTGTTTTGAGACGGAGTTTCACTCTTGTTACCCAGGCTGGAGTGCAATGGCACGATCTCGGCTCACCGCAACCTCCGCCTCCTGGGTTCAGGCAATTCTCCTGCCTCAGCCTCCTGAGCAGCTGGGATTACAGGCACGCGCCACCATGCCCAGCTAATTTTTTGTAGCTTTAGTAGAGACGGGGTTCCACCGTGTTGACCAGGATGGTCTCGATCTCTTGACCTTGTGATCCACCCGCCTCGGCCTCCCAAAGTGCTGGGATTACAGGCTTGAGCCACCGCGCCCGGCAAAACAAATACATATGGAGAAATCCAGCTTCCCAAGTAACCACATGAGTAGCAATTGAGTAGGTATAAAGTAATGGTTTAAGAAATGATAGTCTTTTGTATGGCAAGATAAAGGCAGAATGTCTTTTAGAAGGAAAATTTTAAGTGATTAATTTTTAAAGTATATTCTGTTTTGGCCAAATACTTGTGTATCTCTGAGAATATAAATGAGGTAAAGAGGTAAATAAGACATTTATTTAATATTGGTATGACAACTATGGAAGATATGTGATTGTTGTTTTCCAATTGGTTGTAAAATAAGAGAGATTTGAGAACGTTTTTATTAGAATCACTTAGACTGTTTTGTCCCTTTATGAAGAGTACCAGGTTGACCCATTTTCCTAGTAAATACATGAAGTCTTATTTAATTAGTGATTATGCTTGAAGACAATACTGACACTGTTTCTCGTGGTGTCTCTGACTCAGGAACTTAAGGTTTTCATTTTGATGATTTTTTTTTTTCTTCAGAGATTATATTTACCATCTAGAAGCATATCGAGCTCATCATAAAAGTGTGTACAAAACAACAGCTTAATTGAACTTGAGATTCCATATTGGCCCGTTCACCTAAAGCACCTGATTTTTGAGGACGAGTTGTGACCATCCATCGACACATGCTGGGAATACATTCTAGTTTTTATAACGAGAGGAGAAATGAAAGGGCTATTAGAATTATTAGAAAACAATATTTTCTTTTTGGCTTTTTCCAGAGAAAAAACAAGACAAGACTTTGTGCTATTTCATCAAGTCCTTGACGCCTCCTCCCAGCTGGTCAGGTTCTTTTTATGTGGCATGTAATCCTTGAGTTGTTGTGAGTCAACAAATGGACGAGAGCAAGTGTTCAGCCATCTTACTGGTTTTACGCCGAGCAAATAGGCACATTATATGAATACACCAAATGCATAAACAAGTTTGCATGAGCCAAGGATTCCAGATGAGCCCAGCAGCTGCCATTCATGCCCTTAAGAATAGAAGTGCCCTTCTTCATTCTCTAATTTGTTGTTGCCCCACGTTGGGAAATGTCAGCTGTAAGATTTATAGATTCAAGGCTCTGTGATAACAAGTTGCCTCTTAGAACTTTTCAGCTCTAAGAGCTTTTTGTTAGCCAGGTAGACAGAGATATAGAAACATATTTATGCTTTCCCTATATAATTCTTGAATCATTTACAACATCAGTGGTGGTCTTAAAATATACACACACACACACACACAAAATAGCATATAAATTACACACACACACAATAGCATATAAATTACACACACACACAATAGCATATAAATTACACACACACACACACACACACACACACACACACACACACACACCTGTCTCTGTATCTACCTAATACATTACTGCAGGTACGCATCAGTAAATCATAATTTTCTGAAGAGGCTCCCTTTGACTGGTAACTCATGTTGGTACCTGGAATACAAAACTCCTAAAGCTGCGCCTCTCTTGTAATCTGAGCTTCATAAGCAATACTCTTTGAGTAATAAAAATCAGTTCCTCCTGTGCTTCCTAATAACATCAATCCTTTTTGTATCTGTAGGAATTTTTCGTACTCTTCCCCAAATTTCCCCCTTAAAATTATGGCATTGGAAATAATGGTTTTATGTTTTGGGGGACTGTTACTTTCTAATTGAAATTAAATATCTGTGGCTTACTCTCCAGTGCTGAGTTGATATGCGAAACATTTCCTGGCACATCAATAAAACCAGCTTTAAGTCTCCCCACAAATAATCAAATGGCAGGTAGAAGGGATATCTGACCTAGTTGCTCCTCTAACTGCTTTTTATCAAAAGAAATTGGTAAACCACTCAGTCTATAAACCTTTTTGTCTATGATTCTGTAGTGTCAGGGGAACATTTCGATGGGTCTTTTACTTATATGGAGAAAGAAAACCTAAATCTCAAACCACCATTTAGAAAACCCACAAACTCCTGGGCTGTCATTTGACTTGCAGACTTGCAACTCCCTTTCTGGTTGCGTTCTGTGGAGTGGGTGAAGGGCTGTCTGATGGAGATGCATTTTAGAGGCAAGACAGATTGAAGGGTATAATTTAGTGACATTTTGCTGACTGCATTTCTTGCTATATGCATGCCTCTTCATATATTTTACTATTTTACAACATCCAGTTACCTCTTAGCCTACTTGAGGCAGGCCTTACAATTTTGGGACTGTTTCTTGTATACATAATGACTCAATAAAGGTGTCCGATTATGACATTAGTCATTCTGTTAAGTGCTGTTCTTTGACTGTGTATGTAAATCAGTGTATCTTTAACAAGTGAGCTGACCAAAGGCCATTAAATGAGTTGTCCTTATTTTGTTTTTTTTACTGCCCCAATTTTAAGTTTACAAAGAAATCCAGCATGTAACTACCACGTTTAACTCTCCACTTTTTAATTTTGAATACCAAATATGGCAGTTACTCAGGTGGCCAAGTAGGCTTTTTTCTGACCTCGAATGTGGTTTACTGGTGTTACACTTAAAAAAAAAAAAAAAAAAAAAGACAAAAAGTGGATGTCAGTATTTGCTGTTTTAGGATAGCATAAGCCTTTGAGATTTCCCAAAGATCATTTTAAAAGTCTGACATGCATCTGTGTTACATCTTCGTTTTTAGCTGAGTGGCATCATCCCGTATTCATATTTAAGTGACCCTGGAATATGATGCAGAGATAGGTCGCTGTAGGTTAATAACAGGCATCAGCATCTGTGGTTTATGTGAGGTTGTTTAAGGAACGTTTCTAAGTCTAGAAATAAAATTCTCTTAAACCTGATGATAGGTGTATGTTTACTAAGATAGTTTTCCTTCCATTTGCACAGCTTTAAAGCTGGAGTTAAAACATAACCCATGGGATTTAAGAAAAAAAAATTGTTACCCAAAAGCGAATTCATGGTACTAGTAAGTTTGAAGTAACCTCAGGGACTGCTGTTCTGTGGTAGAATGTGCGTCAAGGTGTATTTCTTTTATTAGGAACATATTATATCCATGTCCTTTAATAGGGATGACAGATATTAGCAGAGGCTTATTGAGGGAAAAGAATAATTTTTGTGTGTGCATATACATTTAGGCTTAGGCATTATTAGTTGTAAGTTTCCACAGCACAACTCAAAATTCAAAGGAGATGCCTTTTAAAAAATATAGTGGTGATGGAGTCTGAGTAAGAGAATCCTGTGTTGAAAGTGGAGCAGACCATGGTCATTTCTATGCAAAGAGCTTTTGGTCTGGCAACATAGGGCTTATGATCTTAATACAAAGTCCTTTAAAATCAATTAAAAAAAGAAAACAGCCTTGAAAGTGTGGTAGCATTGAGTTCATTCTTTTTAAAAAAAAAATCTATTTTCAATTACATTATTCCATTTAAATGTACCACAATGGCTTTTAAAAAAAAGATACTTCTAGCCTATGTATATATTCACAGCTGTCAGAAATACGTGTCATTCTTTGTCTTACAAATCCCTGTTCTCAGCCATTTCAGAACCTAATCCTTGAGGCAGCCATTTTGCTGAAAGGCAGTTCAAGAAACAGTCTGTCAGCCTGGCCTGGCTCTTGCTGAAAATGCGTCATTTCTGTACCCAACATGAGCATTAGTTCCAGATTTTTGAATGATGCAAAATTAAGGTCGGAGAGTCAAATATGAAAAATACATCTTGCAGGCAGAGCCCTCATTAGCATCCCCTCATCAATCTCCCAAATCTAGGAGCTGGGAGACCATTGTACTGTTATCCTGCTGATGTTGAGTTGATGGGAAATTGAATGGAACAGACTGGCAGTTGTGAAGGCCGGCTGATAATGATGGCACAAGCTCAACGAAGAAGCTTAGTAAAATCTGGAGGAGGTGTTTTTTATCATTTGGCCTCATTCTGTTGGTTGTTGGCATTTGCTTGGCAAGAGGGAGGTGTTCTTATCTCCCCGGCTAGAGAGATTTTAAATGTGCTTGAAAATACTGAGCATGCACTTCTGTTACTGCCTCTTCCCAGCAAGACCTGTGGAAGCAAGGCAGCTGTGTACTGAGCAGGAAAATCCACTCAAACTGATAACATTCAGGTAAACCTGAAAACCGGCTGCATTTTCTGGTAATTAAATTAAAAGAAGGCTGTTGACTATCGGAACCCTTTTTCTTCATGAGCACATCATTGTAATAAATAGGATAACCTCAAATATTTTTTCTTCAAGATTGATGGTGTGTTTTGATTTTTAAACACTTGTGTGTAAAGGTAGGTAGGTGCTTTTATATCATTAGGTGGCACCTCAAAACATACGATTGGTCATGTTTCTGCCTTGCATGGTTTATGAGAGGAAAGTTGGCCAAACAGGGCTAATTTTACTAATTAAAGTCATACTGCCCAAATGGATTAACATGATAGAGACGTTTGGTTTTAATAGCACTTGGAAAGGGTACTGAGTCCTAAAACGTTCTGTTTGGAAAGCTTTGCTCTATAAAATTTGCCTTTAACACGGCTGATGACCCTTAATTAGAATGATATACTGTACTTGCTGGTGTGATGTCTGTTTGAGAAGAAGCAATACTGGTGTGCCCAAGTATCATTGATTTTCATGTATTAAGATGCCTTATTTTCCGGGCCTGGCATTTCTGAGTACCTGTCTTCTCTGTTCTGTTTCAGGTGTGAATCATGGCAATGCAGTGAAAGACAGTGATTTACAACTTTTGAGGGCATGCATGTATATGATTAAGGGATGGAGGTGAAGGACTCCAAGATTTACTTCCTTTCCTTTCCTTTCCAGCAGAGTTACCTGAGAGGAGTGAGTAATGGGATCATTTGCAACACCACAGGCCCCTTTTCAAGAGACCGGTAATCAAAACAGGAAGACAAAACTGAGACGATTTCAACTGGGAGAATACAACTTTTGATACTTTCTGGATATACCCTTAGCAAACAGGAGAGTCTTCAGAGTTTTCCTGTTTTATATTTTCATGGAGATTTTCGTTAAAAAGGTTAGTATGTCAATCCTGGTTACATCATGCAGACGCCCTGTTAAATTTTATACGTCTTTCCTCCATGCTTTCTGCTCTGGATATTCTTATATTGAGAAATCAGAGAAACTTAGTGGCCTATTTATAGAACTCAGGTTCTTTTTACAAGGGCAAAGAATAATCAAGAATTAGGAGTGGGCCAGGGGCGGTGGCTAATGCTTGTAATCCCAGCACTTTGGGAGGCTGAGGCAGGTGAATCACTTGAGGCCAGGATCTTGAGACCAGCCTGATCAACATGACAAAACCCCATCTCTACTAAAAATACAAAAATTAGCTGGGTGTGGTGGTATGTGGCTGTAGTCCCAGCTACTTGGGAGGCTGAAGAAGAATCACTTGAACCCAGGAGGTGGAGGTGGCAGTGAGCTGAGATCGCACCACTGCACTCCAGTCTGGGTAACAGAGCGACACTCCGTCCCAAAGAAAAATAAAAGGAATTAGGAGTGTTGGCTGGGTGCGGTGGTGGCTCACACATGTAATCACAGCACTTTGGGATGCTGAGGCAGGTGGATCACTTGAGCCCAGGAGTTCGAGACCAGCCTGGGCAGCGTAGTGAGACTTCATCTCTTCAAATAATAACAAAAATTAGTTGGATGTGGTGACATGTTGCCTGTGGTTCCAGCTTCTCTGTAGGCTGAGGTGGGACGATCACCTGGAATCTGGTGAAGGCTGCAGTGAGCTGAGATTGCACTCCAGTCTGGGTGAAAGAGCGAGACACTGTCTCAAAAAAAAGAGAAAGAAATATAACAAATACAGCAACGTTTTTAGGAAGGGGTGGAGTGTGCACAACACGACTAGTCTGTGTTCATACTAAAAAAAAACACTTTGGGAGGCTGAGGAGGGTGGATTGCCTGAGCTCAGGAGTTCAAGACCAGCCTGGGCAACACAGTGAAACCCCGTCTCTAATAAAATACAAATATTAGCTGTGTGTGGCGGCATGCACCTGTAGTCCCAGCTACTTGGGAGGCTGAGACAGGAGATTGCTAGAACGCGGGAGGCGAAGGTTACAGTGAGCCAAGATTGCACCACTGCACTCCAGTTTGGGCGACAGAGCAAGACACCATTTCTTTAAAA